CAATACATTTCTACTCTCATTAGTAATATATAACAGTACAAACATAACTTAAATGGAATATCAATTGGAATCAAACATGCTAGGTCATTTGTTCTTATTACATTAAACCCTGAATGTCTGGGTTTATCTGCACTGCTTTTCAATCAGTTCTCTAGGCTGGACCTCATTTGTAGTTCAACTTCTCTTTAAGTAATGCAATACCTTTGAAAAGCTTTAAAGTGAAATGGCATTGAGCCAATGAATTTGCATAAACTGCAACACAGTACAGTTCACTAACATAAAAGAAAGTGAAAAGGTCCAAGACAATAATCTGCTCAGCATCTTAAATTCAGTGCTCTTACATTAATGAAGTTGACTTCAGCTTGCAGACAAAAACAATGACTCTATTGCCAATAAGAAGAAAAGAATATGTTAATGACAGAATCATCATAGGCACTGTATAGGATTCTTTACAGATACATTTTGTAGTGTGTTGTAATACCATTTCTTTGTTCATTCTGTAGCACTGAACGCAATATCAGCAAGATGAGAGACAAACTATGCAATGATGATGTTTAATATAATTTGGAAGAAAAGCAGCAGTAGCATAATGCTTTAATGACTATTTCTTTTTTTTCTCTCCACAAAGTAATATTTTGCTATGAAAGCACATATGTCTGGAAATCACTTGTTCAAATCTCATTACTGCATGAAATATGTACCACATTGCATTCAGCACCTTGGTATTAAAGTTTATGGTGCTAGGTAAAACAAAACAAAACAAAGAACAAAAACTTAGAATATCAGGGTTGGAAGAGACCTCAAGATATCATCTAGTCCAACCCACTGCTCAAAGCAGGATCAGTCCTAATTTTTGCCCCAGATCGCTAAATAGCCCCCTCAAGGATTAAACTCATAACCCTGGGTTTAGGAGACCAATGCTCAACCAACTGAGCTATCCCTCCCCCAAAACTTCAGTTGTGCAAAGGAAGTCCTCATTGTTTGGACATGCCAGCACATCATACATCTGTAATCTCCCTTATCCATGCTGTCAGTGCATCATTTTGATTTCAGTGAGGACAGAGGAAGCTTCAGAGGCATGAACAGACTATTAAAAAGGGTCATTTGGGGTTGACCAAATTCTATGCTGGCTTGATCGCTATACAAACCACCCCACTGATGACAACCCAGTACAAATGTTAATTATTCTGCTGAACAGTTTGTAACAATCATTTCAAGAAATCAGTGTGAACCATTACTAGAGCAAGGAAGATTTCCATCTTTTGGTCAGGATTCTGTTATTTTTTTAGGATTTCTTTATTTTTCTAGTCTTCATTTTTTTCAGAACAAACATGGGTGGCAGGTGAACACCCACCATTGGGAAGGCTAGCCTGCCTCCCACCTTTTCTGCCCTCTTCTCCCACCCACTGGAGCCCTGAGTGTCTCCCCACGGCTGGAGGAGCCCTGGCCCCCCAAAGCTCCAGACGAAGCTCCACCAACACCCACCCGCTGGCCCCAGCACCACCCTGGGCCACACCTGGCTGCTGGCAGGCCAGAGCTCAGGGCCACTAGCTGGAGCTGAGTCCCTGCTGGCTTCAGGTAGAGGGGGAGGGAGGGCAGGGACTCAGGATGCAACATGGGCAGGGCCATGGCCTGGTCAGGGGACGCTTAACCTGCCCTGGCCTCTGATACCTGCCACCCATGAGAACAAACAGATTCTCATAATAAGGAGATTAACAGTATTAATTAGAAACACTAAAGTGTTAGTTGTGTAGTAATCTTGGAATTTTAAAAGGAGCCTAATAGTGTTAGAAGCCCAAATCTCATGGAAATTCAATGGGATTTGCATGCCTAACTCCTTTACGACTCTTTTAAAAACACCAGCCTAAAAAATCTTTTGCTTATGCTTTCTATATATTAGGAACAACACTAGTATTAGTCGTGAATTACAGTGTAATATACATTTATGTCTCTGGATTTAATGAAAAAATGCAAAGGCATATACTATTCTAGTATATAAACCAAGGAATTAAAAACTCTGGGATAATCCCAGTGTGTCATTGGTAGATTAGTACATTGACTCAGGGATTCCTGAGAATCCCTCTGTAGCCTTCAGCAAGTCACTTAACTTCTGTATCTGAGTGTCTTCACCTGTAAAATGGGGAATACTTTGTTTTCAGTAAAGTGTGCAATACAATAATTATAGTACCTATTTCCAAGAACTGTATGGGGATTAGTAAATTTGTTTTTAAAAATACTTAGAAGGTGTAAAGGACATTGTTGTTATTACTATTGAAGTGCTGAAAAAGTCGATAAATTTAAGTAATCTGGAAAATCATAAAGATTCTACAAAGAACCTGTTCAATACAGACTTCACAGAATCTCGTAAAGAATCACTCCTTTTCACCATTTTGCTGTGGGAGTGCAGCATAATTTAATGGTGGAACAGTAGGGTTGTCAGAGGAGATCTCCAGCCCAAATATCATCAAGTGACTGGAAACAAGAGGCAGCTACTGGATGTTACATCAGCTACAGACAAGGAATTTACTTGTGGAGGAGAGAACTACATTTTGTTCCTGATGATTTTGACAAGATTGTGGTATGTAAAAAATAGCAAGAGTGTCCTGTGAAGAGATAATTTTGAAGAGATCATTTTGTTAAAAAAAGTTTTATTATGGGAACTGGATGTCTTGGGAGATTGATATTGGAATAAAGACGCTTCCATCCCTAGGACACTAATTTAAATATGGCTAAGGTCAGTAGAAGTCATTATCATTTGGCAAGATCTCTGTGGTTTGGGCAAATTAAGTTGTGGTCTCAGTTCATTTACTCGCGGACAAGTGTTCCCATGTTAAAAAACTTCACTACGAATGGCAGTCTAATCAGAATAGGCATCAAGACAGAACTATTCTCTCATCACTAGAGGTATATCCTTCATGTCATGAGTAAGTTTCACTGTTTAGGCAATGTGGAGAAATTTGCACTCCTGCTACCAGAGCACACTTGCTCTGGAAATAAATATTGTACTTCAGTTATCAGTCTCACAGAACCATTCTTAAGTATTATGGTCCTTTACAAATATTCAAAAGTTAATATAAAAGCGTAAAGTGTCAATAAAACACTGAAAGTGATAAAGAATTTTCATCAGGTCTAATCATATAATGCTATGTGAGGTCAAAACAACAAGTCATGCATTATACATTTAAAATGTTTTCATCTTAAATTGTGCTAATATATTAACTGTCCAAACAAACAAACAAACCAACCCACCAATTACTCGCTGATGGGTTCAAAGATTTTTCAATTTTCAATGTAGAAAGTTTTCTGGCATTTCAAATTAGTTTGAGCAGTTAACCACATCCAAATTTAACAGTAAATGCCAATAAATGTTCACATTTAATACCTCCTGATTAGTTTAATTTAAGTGTTAAAAGTAAATCTACCATACTACTGCCTCTCACTGAGAAGGAAGACGGTACTACAATTCAATTTAAATTAAAGACATCTGCTATCATACTAAAACTCATACTAAGACAGAGACCTTTGACTACATTATTCCATTGTATTCATCTAGAGATTATGTTATTGTGCCCTTCAGTTTTAACTTTGTGCTTTTAATGTGCTCTTAAATTTCTGTAGCTCATGTTTCACATAATGTGGCCCATGAACCATTTCTATAATTGGAAAACCCTACACTGGACAAAGAATATAAAAGCAGAAGTAAAATTGATTTTTTTAAAAAGAGTAGCCACTTTATAATTTCAGTTGAACAATATATTTCATGTCACCGTAGATTTATATGACAGGAAAACAGATCTTAATGACAGGATTTTAACGGAACACATCAGAGTATTCATTTTTTGTTCCTTACACCAGTGACACAGCAAAAGCATTTTAAATTAAAATGTACAGAAAGGAATAAATTTTCTGTGCACTGAGGGGTAACACTGAAATGTGCAAGGAATGCATCTTTTAAGAGAGTACACTCTCAAAAACATAAGAGTATTTCACAAATCTCAGAAGTCTCCAAATGAATATTGTTCATGAATAACTGCATTAAATCTATTTTTATAGTTAAGTTTAACAGCTTCTACTGTATTTGTTTAGTTCTATTTGTGTTGGCAAATCTCTCCATCTCCTGTATCCAGCATAAATTACTTGCTCCAATTCTTCAGTCTGAATATTGTTCATTGTCTTTTTGGACTCACTTCCTGTCAGAAAGGTGGCACATGCAGCCTACTGTGAGATCTCCGTCAATGCTACTTCAGGATTCACCCAACTGGGATTCAGCAACAGCAAAACAATCATTACTTATTTTCCCTTCCTCCCCACTATAGACCCAATCCAATGCTACTGAAGTTAATGGAAAGATTCCCATCGACTTCAGTGGATTTCGGATGAGGCCCAATATACCAGTCAGTCTCAGATACTGATGAATGAATATCACTACTGTTGCTTGTGAAGTTTCTACCAAACAAAATTTTGATTGGAAGTGGCAGGATCAGTGGGGGTGGGGGATTTTTCACGTTTGAACTCCAAGAATGGTTATAACAAAAGTAGGAGAATAGTTGAGGGGGAAGAGGAGTGTAATGGGGAGAGAGGTAGAGAATATTCCCAACATTTTTAACTTTAGAAACTTCAATTCAAGACTGAGATGCAGCTCAGATGAGTTATTACTTTATTCCCCAAACCATTTGCACCTACAGCTAGTCTCCACCAGCCTGAAAGTCTTGAAAAAGTTTCTAAGTTCATTTATAAGGTATGGCAGTGGGGGAAGCCACCAAAATATCATTATGGGTGAAACTCTGACCCTCATGAAGTCAATGGCAAAAATCTCACTGGCTTCACTGGGGCCAGGATTTCATCCTGTGTATTCAGAATTGCTAACTTTGGAAGAACACTTTTTCTTAAATTATTCGAGTTTAAGCATGAATTACCAGTAAAATTTGATCTTCCATTAAGAATGTATCTTTTTTTCTTTTAAAACAAATTTAAAGAGAAAACAAAGTGTTAGAACTTACATTCAATATCAAGGTACATGCTCTTTTGATGCCCACCAATTCTACTTGCAGCTTCACAGTCATATCTCCCTGAATCTGACAACTTCACATCTTTAATATGCAGTGACGATTTTCCATGCTGCCCTTTGACTTCTATACGGCCATCTGGGCTCTGTTTACATTGATTCAAGAAAGAGAAAGGGTTTTATATATAGATAGATATGTATATGTGTATTTGTTTTATATATAAAACACCATTAATAATTATGACTGATTGTACAGTATTTGTTGTGAAAACATCTCATAATGTACGGTGAAATAAATATTAATGACTAAGCAATTTCAAAATCTGTCAAACATACAATTTAAAACAAAAATCTAAAGACAAGTCTGATTCTAGACTCCATGGTCAAGGGAATAAATACATTCTTAAGGGAACACTGTCAAGTAGTTAAACCCCCAAATTACCTTTTTAAGATTGATATAATCTGTCTGTTCAATTATAAAGGGCCTGATTCTGATCTCACTCAGACTGTTGTAAATCAGGAGTAACTCCCATCATGTCAATGGAATCATACTGGTTTAAAATCACTATAAATAAGATTACAGTGTCTCTCTCAGTTCTCCTTCCTGTCTGAGAAACTGAAAAATCCAAAAATGAAAAAGCAGCTATTGATTTAGCTTTTCTGCTAAAAGTACAAATTAACTGAGAAATCATGGTCTGGAAACACTCTGTGAACCACTGGATTTCACTGGTGATACCTTTGATGCCATAACATAGAAGTAAACTGTGATAAACCATCAAACAAACAAACATATATACGTGTTGGCTTCTGCTTTACCAGGAAAACAAGTTCAATATTTGCCAGCCTGGGGGTGAGGGAGGATATATTGAGGTTGGGCAGAACAGGTATGAAGAAAAATATAATTTACAAGCCTATAAGGGTATGAAAAATAAAACAGACATTGAAAAACGTTTTTAAGTACTTGAGAGTGGCATTTTAACTTCTGTGAAGTAACATTGTCCAGAGGAATGAGCAAAGGGTTAGGAGTTTTGAACGCCTCAATTCTAATCCTTACTCTGCAGTTTATTTGCTTTATAGCTTTCAACAACTCACTTCACCTCTTTGCCTCAGTTCTTTCATCTATGAGATGGGGACATGATACCTACCTCTCAGGAGTGTTGCCAGGAGTAATTAGTTAATGGTTGTACAATACTTTAAACATCTAAAGCACTCTGAGGTCCTATCCTGTAAACACATGCTGTCGGGCTCTACTGCTTACTACCATAAGTGTTCCTATTGTGGCTGCTAGTGTTTGAAGGATTTTACCTCATGTCTATATGATTATTTTCTGAGTTAATGAAGGAAAATGACATGCAAATCAGTTCACAGAATTGTTCACATCAACACAATATCAGCAATGTATACGCCGGAATCATGAAAGAAAGAAACCTGTGGTCCTGTTCCCACCTCAGAATCCAATAGCACAGACCTCGTTTCTTGTGCACAGTCCCATCAAACTCAATAGGATTCTGCATGGGTGCAGGGGTTTGCAATAGTAGCTGCCAGTGCAAGAATATGCCCTAAAATCCCTCAGACTGATAGAAGTAAAACAAGATCACTATCTCCTACTATGTCGATCTTAAATGCTGCAAATTATATTAAACAAATGCATATATTCAAGTCATCAGGAATATTCATACAAATGTCAGAATTTACAGTCACTACTGAACAATTACTAGACTAAAAGATCTTGATACATCATGTTTTGTGTAGATTGTTTTGTTTATTCGTTTGTTGTAATCTTTTTTAAATTTTGTTTTTAAAATATTTTTATTTATTTATTTGCAGATCTGGCATGTTTTCGATTTTTGTTTTAATATTTGTAAAAGTTGATGGCTGTTGTTACTTGTTGGATGCTGCTTAATTGGTTCTACTTTAAAAAGTGAAATAAACAAATGGATAATTCTACATCAAGTTTGTTCCTGTTTAAAAAATAAATTGAAGCTAAAATATTTTAGCAGTTTACAATACATTCAGTGACTACTCTTTCTGATTTTACCTTGAGAATTGCAATTGGATCATATTGAGTAACTTTTAAAATTGCTATCAAGAGACTTCCTATACTGAAACAACCTTATGACTTATGAATGTAACTTTAAGTTAAAAAAGTCAGAGGTACAAAAGGGAGAAGTTAACAGCACTATCCATTCATTAACAACTGTCATCATACAGGAGTAAGGTAGTTCAATAGAAAGAAAAAAATGATCTGATTGATGCACAAGATGTAAGAGCTGATGTTAGGGTTAATACCAGGGGGCAACATTCTCGTTCAGGACCAGGAAGCTCTGATTGAAATATAGGTCTCTTCATTAAAATTACACCTACTTAATTCTGATAAACACACAATAATACATTTGTTCCTTAGAAGAATCTAAATCTGTCCTTTCAGATACATCAATACAGAGTAATGAGAGATGGCATAAGACAAATATTGTCTTTGCACTGTTGGTTTACTAAAGCCCTGCAAAAAGAATGCAATTTTTTTTAAAAAAAAGTCCCACTTAAACAATGATGAAGGACCTTTTCATTGCACAGTGCAACAAATTCTCCCTGAGAAATTGTAATGTGTTATATTATCTCTAGACAAATATATTTGCTTAAATTCTTTTACTGTCTGACTTTTACAAACAGATTGGGGCAATGGTCTCCTGTTTCCAACAGTGGCCATTACCACATCTTTTGGGGAAAAGGTGCAAAAAAGCCTAAGTAAACAATTACAGAATTAAAATGGTTAGCACAGAAGTTCCTCCATCAGTTGGTTTATGTCCTGAAGGATGGGGGTTTGTATCCCTTCCAATTCTTGGGGTTTTTATTTTATTTATAATACTATCTAATGGAACTGTGAATATTTCCATTATTCATATAAATCATAGAATCATAGATTAGGGTTGGAAGAGACCTCAGGAGGTCACCTAGTAACCCCCTGCTCAAAGCAGGACCAACTCCAACTAAATCATCCCAGCCAGGGCTTTGTCGAGGCGGGCCTTAAAAACCTCTAAGGATGGAGATTCCATCACCTCCCTAGGTAACGCATTCCAGTGCTTCACCATCCTCCTAGTAAAACAGTGTTTCCTAAAATCCAACCTACCCTTCCCCCACCGCAACTTGAGACCATTGCTCCTTGTTCAGTCATCTGCACCACTGAGAACAGCCGAGCTCCATCCGCTTTGGAACCCCCCTTCCGGTAGTTGAAGGCTGCTATCAAATCCCCCCTCACTCTTCTCTTCTGCAGACTAAACAAGCCCAGTTCCCTCAGTCTCTCCTCATAAATCATGTGCCCCAGCCAATCCTATTTGTTTGTTTTTGATAATAAAAACATCTTCACTTTTATTTGTTAAGTAGCAGTACAATAGCTTTATTAATTACCAGTGCCACTCCTTTAAACCTGCCGAAGCTGAAATTAGGGACTTGGTGTTTAACGAAGACCCAAAATGAGGGGAAAGAAAAAAAATACTCACAGCGGAAACTTAAGATTATGCCTGATTTATTCCTCAAGCATAAATAATTCCTACAGTAACCTCAGTTTCCTGATTCTTTATTTTGGAAGTACATAGATTTTAATGATGTTTCACACTACATATGTCCAATGTAGGTCTCTTTGGGGCTAAAATGAATGATGTTCCTCAAAATGAGAAGTATGACTATCCAATACAGAAAATATTTCTGCAAAGTGTTAGAATAATCCCAATGAATCCAAAGCATATGTTCTTGAAATCAATTGGAATTTTGCCTAAGGACTTCTGGTTTCTCTGTGTATTTATGGCATCATGGTTTCAGAAAAGGAAAATATACACACACAATGATCAACATTATATACAATGGTGAACATTATAAAGGGAACATTTAATTTAGTGTAAAGTTAGTTTTATTGTAATATTTTTCTGTAATTGGACTGTAATGCCATGGCAGGATATTGTGTGTTCACACATTATAGTGATTATCACCAAAGAAGTATATAATAAATAAAGCAAATATTTCCTTTTAAATGTTGACCACCATACCTCATTGTTCTAAGTTTCAGATGAATTTTGTCTATTAACTTTGTTAGAAGAGTAAGAAGTTATGACTATCTCCAAACCACCAGAAATGGTCAGCGAGGCCATATCTCCTTATCAAATTCTAAATAAATTTAATAGGCCAAATTCTTCTCTCTGTTCCACCTTTGCAAACCCACTATAGTTAATCAGTTAAACAGGTACAACTGAGAGCAGAATTTACCCAAATATGGATAACTAATCAAGATGTTACAACGTTTTGCAATGCTAGGGCTAGAAACAGGGCCATCAAAACTACGTACCTATAAAAGTGTATATTCTACTTTGATACTCTACTGCTCTGATATTCAGGCCCTGTACCTCAGTCATAACCCAGTGGGCTTTATCAGGGATTACTCTGTTTACTTTTCCTTTATAAGTCACCAGTATGGCTTTATTAGGTTTAAAAAGGATATAGGTGGAGGAAATAAAAATGCTATGGGAATATACAGTATTTCAAGAATAAACTGACATGTCTATATATAAATATTTCTATTTATTAATCTTCATTGACATAATTTGATAATTAGAAAATATATATTATAGTGTCTTGTTCATTGCTATTTCAATTCCATTGTGTTTCTCAGAAAATTAATTGCCAATTCTTTAGGCCTAGAATAGTGGTTGAAGATGCTTTTATGTCACTGCTACCAACCAAAATTAGTTTACTCATTTACTCTCAGTTTGTTGACTTTTTAATGTACATATAAAATACAGTGTCTCCTATTAAAATAGTCAGAATTTGTCCAGAGATACAACATTCATACCACAGCTACCTCCTATACTTAGTAAAGAGAAAATCTATGTGGTAGCTGAGATCATTATGCGGTAACTGTTGTCAAATGATGACTTCAGTATGACCACTGTACTTTGTATTTCTTAAACATATGAGGGTGAAAGTCATCCCCATTTGAAGTTATATTGTGGCCAACAGCAATCAGTTCTACAATTCAATGCTGTAATAGTAAACTCTTATCCAGAGGGTCTTAAAAGCTAAGTTGGAGCACAAATTATCAAAGTCAGCGAGATACTAAACCACAACTTATTAATTAGCCAATAGATGAACATAAACT